TAGAAAGACTTGGAACTATAGCCAGCTTTATAAAATTCAAAAGTTAAGCTGAGCAAATCGAATAAAAAACCAAACAATTTAAAAAGTCATATTATTGAGAAAAATGGCGATCAAAACTACAAATAAAAAGAGTGAAAAACGTTTGAGATGCTTTTTGAACTGAAAAATCGGATTTGAAATTTGGGGCAGTAAATGTAGCAAAAACTTTTTGTCAGAAATGCTAAAAAAAATCAAAAGCAACAGATTACTACTAATCTATCCATTTTTGATAATTTTGTTCAGTTAAGTTCGATTAATTCAGCTTCAAAACATTACAAACTTAATCACACGAAATCAATATCAATGAATCTAGACTAAACCAATCATTAGAGATAATTATGCTTAATCAACCAGCGGTATTTATCCTTCAAATCGACCGATGTCCGTTTCGGGTTAAAATTACCCCTGCCATACTTCAGCACATCCGCCCACTTTCCAGCCCCGTAGAGTTCAATTCCCGTTTTCAGGGTCTCCACTTCATTTTCAGTCCATGGTATCTTAAAGTGGTTTCTGGTCGGCGGCCGATTTAGTAAACTCGCAGCTGGATTTTTGGTCACCGGTCTGCTCGGAGAATTACGTTGGACTCCTCCATTTCCGCTTGTAGTGGGAGTGACCTTCGAGATGGGCGATACATTTGCCAGCTCGTGTTCTTCTGAATCATCGACCACGACCGATAATCCATCGTTCACAATTTCGTCGTATATACTTACTGCGGATGTTGTTAGCTTTTTATTTGGCTGACAGTTTTCAATTTGTTTATAATTGCTTTTCACTGATACCACTGGTAGTTCGATCACTTTGTTTGTGATGATTTTGGAACCACTTCTGTCTAGAAACAGAGATCAGTGATAATACAAACAAACATAAATTTGCTCCAAAAATTAAATACAGAACTGAAGCTTCGCCTGAAAACAAATCCTACTTATATACCAAATTTAAGGACAAAAGGAAACCCATTTTAGAGAGAAGCACACTAGATCTTATATTTCACCTGGTCCGGTGGGAGATGTAGGCATTAGGTTTTCTTCGTACTTAAAAAACAGCTTAAAATATTCAAAACAACTATATTTTTCGCTTTTACTGAAGCTTGCGTAAATTTATTTCATAAACTCGTTGATCAAAATCAATTCTTTAGTCTAAAAAGATTAATTCGACACAAAAAAGCCATTTTTCTCTAAAAACGGTAAACACTGCGTTGGCAACGAAAACCGAGGTTAAGGTTTCAAAATATTTAAAATTACAGAAACGAAGCAAAATGTATTCTTGACAATCTCTTTTTGTTCCGCCACTATCACGGAGTCGCAAGGAACTACCATTTAATTGAAGCATTCTCATAGATGTGGTTATAATACTAAAGTTTTTTTAAGTCAACATTCTGATTGCGCAACTTTGTTCATACATATTTCTGTGTTGAGAAAAGCAGGTATGAATTTTTGCGGGAGTCATAATAATTTACTGTTGGTAGAATAAATTAGAAATGAATGTTGGTATAAAGACGAGTGAATGAGAAACGAAAAAACAATCTTGTTTGCCGTTTTCTTTGACAGCAAGAGTGCTTCCAAAAATGGTAGAAAGTGATTATTTTTCTTAAATTTTGAGTCAAGATCCATACATTTTGGAATCAAAATTAGTTTTAAAATAGAAGATAATACAATTTTTCATTTGAATGTTACCATCGGGTTTTGCAGTGAGAGCGCAACCTAGCCGCAAACTAATCTTTCAAACAAAAAATATAGCCAACAGTCGGAAAGGAGTCAATGCATGCAAAGAAACAGAAAAAAAATCCAACTTTCAAATTTCAAACAAAAAAATGTATCGCCTTAAGGCTCTTCGAATTTCAAGAGCAATATGTTTTTGGCAGTTTTTTGATAAAAATAACCCAATTTGAAAAAATTGGATTACTAGGAAAAGTTCTCATTCCGCTGAGAAAATCTAAAAATTACATTCCATTTTCAATCACCTTTTTCCGCGCCATTTCAGCTTTCATAATTGCAGCTAATTTTGCCAACCATCTTGCAAATGAATTTCAATTGAGCTCAAAAAATGCATTCATAAGTTCATTTATAAGCATGAGTGAACTTCTTTTGTAAAGAGCATTTTAAGACTTTTGCTGGGAAATGAAAAAAAATCGTCACGACTATATAAGAGTCTGAACTACGTTTATCGAATCTCAATAAACTTTTCCGGAAAAAAAATACGTTCCGGATAATTTATTTTTAAATTATTTATCAATTATCCTAAATAAACCGAGTCGCGGAGATTGCCATGACCAAATTTTGAAGCTTCTATGAGCGCAAAAAAGCAATACTTTGAACCGGGTCGGATGGCCGTGTAATTCCACTATCTTAGACCATTGTTTGACTATCTTAGATTCTAAAAGCCGTCGAGATCAATACGCTATCTTGTCAAACTTGACAAAAAGTAATTAAATGACGAAAAAACAGATTGGAAAATGATACAGCGCATTTGTTTGACAAGTTGTTTACATAGAAAAAGTCTTGTTCCGATTTCATTACACTTGCCAATCGCAAACGTAAATACTCACGTGAAGCTTTATTTGATAGTTCTTGTTCGAGAAGCCTTGTGAATTTTTGAAGAGTTATGCGAGGAGTTGATTTAAATTTTTGACAAATGATTACATAATTCAAAATATCTTACAAATTTTTACAATGAATTAAAATTAGCCGTCTGTAAAATTTGCTCAAAATCATCTCACATTGGTAATTCAATAACACACTTAAGGCCAATTATTGCATGCGTTGCTCCCCCAACTAGTTCCGATAGGAACTTAGGCTGGCAAAATTTGTGGGGCTATTCTCATGCGCAGAGGGCTTAACGTTCAATATTTCTCAACCAATCAATGCCCTCTAAACTGTCCAAAACTGACTTTATCTGAATTCATTACTTGTTTCCTTCGAAATTGTGAATAATTAATTCTGATTTTGCGCTTTCAGCCTTTCGCTCAAGAAGGATTCCCTCATTGACTTTGATTTTCATTTGATTCTCAAACTGATAATTTCAGATTAACACCTGGTATCCAGCAGTCTACTTGGCCAACTTTACGCCACAAGATGTGGAGATAGCCCCTGCGGCTCTCAAGCGACAGATGGAGAGCTATCGAGTCCGACAGGTCCAAGTCTCACTCATGAAAAGAGTCAGGTAAGATACTTTACTCGAAATAGAAGTCATCTCTGTCTCCCACCCCATACCAAATATAAACACGCTAGCGAGAACATGACAAAAAGCAGCTTTTTAAAGTACAATAAAAAATAAATAAGCCTCGAATTAGCAAAAAATCGGCCAAGTCGAGATTTGAACCTGAGACCTAGAGATCAAGAGTCTCACACACACACACACACACACACACACACGCGCGCACACACACGCACGCACCCATACACACACAACACATACACACACAACACAACACACACACACACGCACACACACTACGCACACAACTGACACACACACACGCACACACAACACACACACACGCACACAAAACACGCGCACACACACACGCACGCACCCATACACACACACAACACATACACAACACACACACACAACACACACACACACGCACACGCAAACAACACACACACACGCACACACAACACACACACACGCACACAAAACACACACACAAACCACGCAGTCAAGGAAGCTGTTTAGAGAAAAGAAAATAGACGATTAAATAATAGCCACAAATAAAGCAGAGAACAGTTTATATGCAGTTTCCAATGCTACAGTCAAATTTCCAAATAAGTAAACACTTTTAATGAACACTTTTATTTGCGAGTTGGGTAAGAAAAAAAGATTCGTAATAACACACTAAGCTGACGCGAGTGTAAACACTGAGAAATAATCTAAATCAATAGCATTTCATCTTCCATGAAATGATCAAAAAAAGTTAGCAGCTTTTAGATGAAAAAATATTTTTTGATCCTTGGCCACTTTTCTACATTGCTTGTAATTTAGCGCCACAAAACTGAACACGTTTCAAAATATGCCAACCTAAAGAATTATCCATTAAAACGCTGATTTACGATTTTTCACTTAGTCGTCGGCGTAAAAAGTTATGCAAAATTGGTTTGATCATCTGGACCCAAAAAGACTACAAAATGGCAGCAGCGATACAAAGTATTTTCTAGAGACGCAAAAAAGGACATCTGGTGTCTCACTATTTCCGCCTACGCTTGTGTGTCGTAAGTTCACTCTTTCTTAGTAATTTAAACAATTCTAAGGCAAATACAGGCGCGGACTCAAATGTTCGACAATTTTTTATCAAGCTCTCCTACAACAGTTTAAAAAAACACAGGTTAAAAATGGTCGTTTTGGGCATTTTAGAATTTTTTGACTAGTGATACTTGATATCTCAACCTATTATCTGCAATTACACGCTACCAACTGAATTATTTGCAGCTGTGGTTTTGTCTGTGCTTTTTTCATGCTAGGAATTTTGGTTGTTTTTATATTTAGATCATAACAAAATTTCACCTAATCGTAAACACTTGAAGCACGATATTGCACTCGTAGTTGGCACTGGATGTTTAATTGCACTGCTCGTCCTATCAATCTCATTTTCATCTTCTGGAAAATCGGCTTGACATTCGAAATCCAGCCTTCCTTCCGGAAACTGAGTTGACGCGTCTACGGTTTGTCGCGCCCGCTTCCTTTTATTTAGTTCTCGCCATCGTTTATTTCTCCCCATCGTTTTTCACTACAAACTCTCAAAAACAAAACATCTGAAAAAAGTATTCAGGTAAAAATGATTCCACTGCATATAGATATACAAAGCTTTGATGCCACACATCAACTTGGTATACATTTTTAGTAAACGACTAAATTATAATTTAAGATATTAAAAATTTCATTAGGCTACTATTCAGCGCTGGCTACAAAGACAAAAGGTTTACAGTTTATCTTCTTCGATACGTATTATGAAGAAAAAACACTCAACGCTAAATACTTTTAATTTGGTTTTTGTCATAAACATGATCAACATTTTCTTCAAATTTGGATATAAAATAGCAAGCAATGTTAAATTAATTCAAAATGGAAATAATCAGTGCAAAAATTACATCAAATAGAAAGCTCCGTAGATTTATTATAGATTTATGTTAAAACGACAGACAATGGAAGCTATGAGGAAAGTTTTACATCAACTAGTTGCGTCGGTTGATCTATGAGTAGATAATGCTAAAATTCAATTCATAAAATTAATCTAATTTTCAATCAAGGTACAAAAAATCTGAGCAAAAAGCTTGCAAATTTGATCACAGTAGGTTCTCGGGGAAAAACTTATTTTATTGCTGGTAAAGATTAATATCTGATGATTAAAACCAATCAAAAACGGATTTCATCAATTCTGAAATGACTCAATGCTCGTTTCTGTTCATGGAAAGCTTTAAATAAAGCAGCTAACGAGCGATTTTCAACCTAAGGGTGCAAAAAAATGATTAACTTTTTTTTTTACAAAAGGCTAAAAAAAAATTGCCACAATCAAAAGGTAGTTTCTCATAGAAGCTTAATCAAGAGCGTCGAAAAAAACTTTTTGGCACCCCTTAGATGAAAAAAACAACATGCAATGATCAAACCATATAGCAATCAGACTACTTATAGCAACTAAATCTGAATTTTGTTTATCACCCAAAGCAGTAATGTACTCGCAGAAAGAATGAGCATCGAAACACTTGAATTGCAGCAAGTAAAAGATTTATTAACCCTATCAATTAACGAAGGAAGATCATTGTTCAAATCGTTTTTTTTTTGTTTTAGCGAGAAACATGCGATAATATTGCAGCTGCAGATCATTCGAGGAAACTATGCAAATGTATGCCTTAAAAATGCGTTTTTATATCTGTTCGTACGCAGTGCCGCCAGTGACGAATCTTTAAGCACAAATTCAATCATAGACATTTCAAATATTCCATTGACCACCTAACGAGTACCTAACTTGCATTTCAAGATTAAGGATCTGGGTAATTTTTCATTTCCACAAAACTTTAAGTTCAGTTTGAAACAGGCATAAATATTCTTGAAAATGAACAAATCATAAATATTCCTCATTAAGAACTAAACTAAACAATTATAAAACACGAACGCCGCCCAGCTCTTGATCTAAGGATAACAATGTCACTAAAGTTTTTGAAACCGCGAATCGTCTTTTTCCGAATTAACGAAACCGTCAGTTACACTGAAGACGATATCAATTATATATAAATATATCTATTCATCAAGATTTCCACTTTGAGCCCATCAAATTGAATCTGCGATTACCAATCAAATTGCATTTTCAGAAAGCAAATTTTATTGAATCTTCAAAGAGCCAATCATATTAGATATTTAGGTAGCCAACCACATTTCGTTAAGCCCTCGCTTCGTCCAAGTACATGCCTTGATCGTCAGAATTGAAGTCACTTCCCAAACTTCCATCTGCATCTACTAGCATGATAGCCCCGTCTTCCGTAGGTCCCATCACCTTCTGCTGGTAGTCCGAGGAGCTGTAGTAGTGGTGTGTCGTCGTAGTGGTCGTGGTTGATGAAAAGTTATTGTCGGCATGGACTTTCTTCTCCTGGGTTATTTGTTGTTTGTGAATCACATTGGGGACGTTCACCTTCAATATACCTTGAATGAGATCATTTATTGTTATTTTTAGTAATTGTTCCGACCATTTGAAAAATGTGGAGGAACTTTGTATTTGTGTGTTTTAGTTTTTTTACGCAAAACCAGTTTTAAATCCCTTTCAGTTGTGATTCGAACATTAAAAAATTTCCAAAACATTTTCCCAGTGTCGAGAAAAACCGATTTGAAACTTTTTCTTTTTCGCCAATTTTCGAGCGAGAAAAGCCAGCGGGCAGGCTGATTTATGCAGTGAAAAATACAATAGCTTATTCATGCTTAATTTAAGCCGTAAAATTCAGATTTACTCGAGTAAAGTTATTTGCCATTTTTGGTATCTTTTGAAACTTTTTTGATTTTTAATATTTTTTTTTCTACAAAAATAATTTTTCTACAAATGATCTACAAAAACTGTTGACCAATTTGCCTATTTTACTATGAATGACAATTTTGCTCAAGTTCTACCTTTTCGTTCAGATGCTTTTATCACACTACGCAGAAAACAAACGACACTAATTTTTTAAAAACTTTTTTTTTGATTTTTAGGACTATGGACAGAACATTCTGTGCTACTTGCACAGCAACCAGATATCCTTATTTTTCATTTGTAAAATATTGGAAATTTTCTAATTGTTAAGTTCAATTTTTTTATCCGAAAAATGAGTAGTTCGACCATTCCAATAAAAATCAAATTCGCAACCAATACTTGTCTTTGTAACTACCCTGGTGTATGAAACAATCTTTATGTTTCGAACAAGCGTCTTAATTATATAAACATAGCCAACATGCTGTTGGAAAAGAGCCAATGAACGCAAGTAATCATAAAAAAAATACCGACTTGTTTTTAGAAAAACTTTCGAACTTCGAAGAAAACAATAGATGGCTTTAAAGCTCTTCGAATTTCTAGAACAACGTTCATCATCTCTTAATAAGCTATATACAAACAATAGTAACTTCTCATATCTGACCCGAAATTCGCTTCTGATTAGGAAACCTTTATTTTCGCAATGTTTCAAATTATGTATCTCTAAAAATTAATTACCTTGCTTCCACTGCTGCTCTGACTGGTGCTCCTCGGCAGCAGTTCCGGTGGGTTGGGAGATACCGGCGACTGTTTAAACACACTACCCCTTCCACTCTCACTCAATCTACCCCCTCTCCCTCCGCCAGAGGGAGTGTTGGGCGCTTCGCTGGAGCTCTCGTGGTGTTGGTCCTATCAAAACCATGCATTATTTTAGTTTTTTATCGCTGTATACGGCAGGTTAGAAGGTTAACTTCACAGTATCGAGAGCCTAGACTCTCGATGACTCTTGGTTCTATTCTTTTATTGAACCAATTCATCACAAATGCATACCTGTTCACGAGCATATTTAATATGACCCAATACCGTATGACTTAAACTTTTATGATTCTCCTAATAATGATGTCCTATCGTCATTTTAGGACATAAGAATCCCCTTTCTAGGAACCACAGAGATGATAGTTGAAAAAAAAATGAGAACATTTGGAAAGAAGTTGGCGGTTGTAAAATATTTAACCCAATATTTTCTTTTAAAATTTCAGAATTATATATTTTTCCTTGTCTTTGAAGATCTCAAATTTCGTCTTTCATTTGATAAAACGGGCAGTGCTCTGTAACCCAATTGTGTTCGTTAACTGTCCCCTCACTGTTTCTGGTGCTTCATATTTAAATTCTCGTTGTATGCATATTTACCATTAACAATGAGAAATAGATTCTTTCTTTCTTTCTTTCTAACCAGCAAAAGTCTCCAGAAACATTACCTGCCCATATGCCATGTATATTTCATTCTCAACTGCCACATAGTCGTTCTGGTACTTTCCACTGTGCAGAGGGGCGGGAGGAGGATGCTCTCTTTCGTCATCTGGAAGCAAACACAACATCATTGCCACATTCAACATTTGACAACTTCAGGGCCACAATAGGAAAACACAAATCAGAAAATAGCTAACAATTGCAAAATTATAAAGAAAGCGTTGATGCAAGAATTGAAAAAGAAGATTTTTTCCATTTTCTTAAAGAGCACAATTTCAAATAGCACCGTTTCACCATTTTTTAGATTTCCCATAAAAATATAAACTTTCAGATCTTTCTTTGCAATTAAATCAATAAATGGAGGAATGTTTCAAGCTATTACTATAAACCGCTATATAAACATGGCTCCTGTCAATTGATTAAAACTTATCTGAATATATCTTTTGAAACACACTTTAAAATTTTCCAACTGAACTCAAATTCAACTTTCATTCCGTCACTTAATATACATTGGATTCAATTTGGTTACTGGCTTGAATAAGGCTGAGAATAGGCTTCAAAGTTAAATCATAGATATCAATGGATTCCGAAACCAAATTGAAACAATTTTTTACAGCTTTAATGAAACTTTTACTACTCTAGGAATCTCAGCTCAACTAAAAACTGGTGGTAGGTCAGTAAACGATGTATCAGTAAAGCGAAAACGGGCGGACAAGATCAGTAAACCGAAAATTCATGATTCAATTACGTAATCACATTTGCTAAAAACTGGATTTTTACAAAATGACAGATTTTTTCCACAAAACAATAATTGAATTTAAAAAATGAAATAAAATAACTCTTCCCATGCATGCCGTAGTTTTAAAATTGTTGTTCTAGCTCAGGAAACATTTATTTGATAAATCTTTAATTACGCAATAGATGTAATTATTACGTAAATCGGTTTTCTGATCTGGTAATTTACTGACACATCGGTTTACTGTACGCACCCCTCAAAACTATATCCTGTACACAGTTATAATAGTCAAACTCCACCAATGGCCAAACACCACCAGTTACACTATCAATGGTCAAACTCTCCGTGCTTGAACAACACCTGAGCAAAAATATTAAAAAGCTACTGAGAAGGATGCATCCACAAAAGAATGACAAGAAAGCGAAAATGATTCGCGTTAAGAAAGAGAGACATTTAGTACAACTACACTACATAACACTACCTTGCACGTCAGGTTCCTCTGAATAATCAGTCAAAGCGGAATAAAAAAAAGATAAATATCATAACCGAAATTGCTTTAAAAGGTCTGTTTTTGATTGTATTTGAACATAATTGGTTTCAACAAACTAGTCACATCAAACTTGTCACTAACTTATCCGGTAATTTACTCCGGTATTTTAATCAATAATGATGGATGGGTTATGCGCTTATCGATCAGGCTTCGCTTAGCTCAAAGTAAACCTATTAAAACCAACCAGACAACGGAATCATCCCGTCCTCTGGGAGACCCGAGGAGTCGTTATCGTCACTTGACCCTCTCCTTCCATTCACATGTACACTATGACTGGCTTCTGTGTCGTCTGCCTCGTGCTGGGGTGAATGGTGGTGAGAGGAAGAGGAGCTAGCTCTGAAGGGGGGTCTGTCGCCCCCTATGGGAGAGACAGCCGCCGAAGAGGGGGTGCTACTTGGGTTCGCATTTGAATTCGAATCTTCTCCTCTTAAAGCGTGGGGGTTTGGAGTTGAGTAGATGTACCTTAAACAGTTGAAAAAATTATTGCCTTTAAAATAGTATTCGTTGAACTTAGGGGAGAATTTCAAATGATTTTTGTTAAATAGATGCATGTGAATTGAAAGATCAGGAGTTCAGTGCAAACGATTTTGATTCAAATCGTTACCCGCCAGTTAATACCATGATTTGTGAAAGTGAATGTCAATGCTCACTCATATGACTACACGCTGTAAATTTTCATTCATTCATTATGTTGGCTACAAGGCAGTGAAAACAAATATTCGAATCTAAAGGATCTTAGTTTATAATCATACTTATTGAGAATATAGATAGCTTGTGTTTAAAGCAACAAAATGTCACAAGTTTTTAATATGTGCCGAATTCAATTTTTTCATATATATTCACTTCAGGCTAAAGATTGTGAATATCTACAATTTTAGAGGAGTTTCGATGCTTGTCATATAATCTGAAAATCACCAAGCTGATTCAATAATAATCACCTTTCGTCATTGGGGTTGAATCTGTTCTCAGAATAGGACACGTCCACAGCTGTGGAGTTGAGTGACACTTCAGTGACTGGGTGACTCTGACTCTGTTGTCGGGAAATAGCAGTGGTGCTGACTGTGGCCGCCGGTGATACTGGTTGGGGGATGGGATCAATGGCTGAGGTCCTGTTGCTCATAGCTGTTGACCTAGTCTGACTTCTCAGTGTATTGTAGACCTGTGACAACAAGATCAACTTTGTTAAATTATATATTTGTTTTATAATTATTTTTTATCGGCACGATTTTAATGTTTCAAAAAAAGGTATCAGTTTTTGAAAAGTATCAATGAACTCCGCGCGAAATATATAAAGTTTTTCAGTTGCTCTAGTTTGAAAAGTTTTAGAATTTCCTAAAACAATTAAATTTTAAGCGTCTCTTATGATTGACACTTTTATTATAAAACACGTCTAATTTGAACTAGCCGGTTCCTGTGCAATGATCGCTCCGACCACAGAAAAAAACGAGATTTCATTCTTTTTTATTTGTATCGTAGAAAAGAGGGGGAAATAACGTCAAAAACATTAGAAAAGGCTTCTGTTATCCGTTGACTACAGTTTTCTTTGCAAAATGAATAACAATAACGAAATCAGAATTATTTTCCAAAACAATTCCAAAAAGTTTCGAAAAAAAACTATTTTTCTCGAAATATTTTTCAGGCCCAAAATTTTTTTGAAAATTTTTCAAGTTAAAACATAGCCAACAGACATTTGGAAAAGAGTCAATGAACGCAAATAAACTAGGGGCCAGCTAGAGCTAGAGGTACCTGTTCGATAATTTTTGAATTTGTTGTACTGTTGCGGGATGAAATTATCAAATAAAATCAAAAATTGGGCTTCACCCAAAATCTTGTTTTTCTCTAATAAAAAAGAAAATTTTGAATAATTTGGAATTTTTTCAATGTCAGAACATTTTTCATATAAATTTTAGGGCGTGACCGCTCATGCACGGAGGCTTCCCACAACATGTTGCCTCGATTAAACCATTGATATCATATTCGGCTAAGTAGTTTTCAAGAAGAATCTAAAATTTTCAAAAAACGGACAAGAAATTAAAACATTGAATTTTCTCAGGGACGTCACCGTTTATACAGGTGAGCTTTTTTCAACCCCTCAGGGACGTCGCCGCTTATACAGGTGAGCTTTTCTCAACCCATTCTTTTGATTGAACCCAAAGTTTCAGCTTTGAGATGCTAGTTTTCGAGACAAGTCATAAAATAGTCAAAACTGTTAATTTGACTTTTCCTAAGTCCATAACTTGTGTGAGAAAACTTGGGCGTAGCCGATTTGATAGGGGAGCTTCAAATAACCTGTTCAATTGATTGTACCAAAAATCTCAGATTTGAAACAGCAGTTATCGAAGTTTCCAAAAAGCGGTCAAAAATCACATATTCAACTTTTCTGAGGACCAATACTTCTAGTGGAAAACATAGCCGACTAACAGTTGGAAAGGAGTAATGAACGCAAGGAAACTCAAAAAAAACTGACTTGTTTTTTCAAGAGCCTTCAACTTTTGAATTTCGCAGAAAAAAAATAGATGGCCTTAAAGCTCTTTAAATTTGTAGAACAATTTATGATGGACACTTTTTTTGTTAAAACTAACCCAATTTGAGAAAACTGGAGGCAAAACTTTTATTTCGCTGGGAAATCTGATAATTAATTTCGAAATTAGAACTCGATCACATTTTTCGTGACCTTTTTGCAGTTCGATAGTGGAGTTTGCTGTTTTTGTAACAATGGAAGTCCACTGAACTTAAAAAAAGTCACAAGTCAAACCGCGAAAAATCAAAATCTAACTTCCTGAAAAAAAAAACAAAAAAAATCAGAAAGAGCTATATAAGAGTTTTCTTACGTTCATTAATCGTAAAAAATGACCCGCTTATGCAGGAGAGCTTCACATAGCCCACTGTTCTATCGACTGCAGCCAAAATTTCAGATTAAAATATAGCCAACAGAGTTGGAAAAGAGTCAAGGAACGCAAGTAAACTGAAAAAAAATTTATATTGGCTTGTTTTTTTGAAAAAATGTTACTTAACTATCAAATTTCAAAAGAAAAAATAGATGCACTTTAAGCTCTTTGAAATTAACGAACAATTTATGACTGGTGATTTTTTGATAGAAATTAACCAATTTGAGAAAACTGGATCAATAGGTACAAATTATATTTCTCTCAGAAAACTGATGATTAAATTCCATTTTCGAAATTAGAAGTCAATCAGATTTTTAAGACCTTTTCAGTTTTGTTTTTCGATGGTGTAATTTTTCTTTGCATTTAACAAAAGAAAAGAACTGATATTTGAAAAAAATCACAAGTAAATCGGGAAAAAAATAAATTTGAGACTTGAAATATTACGACTTTTCCAGAAAAAAAAAACGAAAAAAGAACACCACCACGACCTACGTAAGAGTCTGAAGTACGTTCATCGACTCTTAAAAATACGAATTTCACTTTTTGTTAATTAGGACCATTTCAAATAGCACCATACAGCAGGCACTTTTTTGCTAGTTAGGTTGGAAAAAAAAAGAGTTATAATATTTCACTACGGTCACAAGTGTAATCCCGCGGAGCATCCATCAATAACTTCATGGTCGCAACAAGGAGGCAAAGTAGATTCTTCAAAGTAATTAAATGGCCATTGCCCATTACACTTAATCCTTTTGAAGCCAGAATGAAATTTCAGCGAGATGGTGAAATGTGTTTTCTAGTATACCTGATACATAGGGACGAAAGTGGTCTGTCCCATGGTGAACTCATCCTCTGTCAGAGTCGCTCCTCCATAAACACATGCCTCGTAGGAAGGAGGAGCTACAACACAGATACTTACGTAAAACCATCGAAGATCTGCAACTTTAGATCACCAAGACTTTATACTACTACCGACGTTGCGATTACTGATTGAGCAAACATACCGGCAAAAAATCGGTCGTCATATTGACTTAAACGAGACTTCTGAAATGTTGGAAGATTTTCTAGGAACTTGATTTTCCTTAAAAGATTCCAAGGTATACGCAGATGTATTCGCATAGACTTAGCACTACATTCATTTAAAGACTCAAACTTCTTTCGAAATTTTGCAGGAAAAGTAATTAGTACAGGTAGCTCCCGAAAATTTGGTGAATATTACTCACGACAGTCGTAGAGATCCAAATCGGCTGCAGTTGGAGCAGAGGGTTCGGAATCAGCACTCAACCCTGAACAAAATTTACTTGATTTCAGCATAATCCTATTTGTATTTTCTCACAGCAATTGATGAAATCTAGGATATTTTTTTGCAACATAAATGAAAGTCCAATTTTTTTTGCAACAATTAATACTTCTGGGAAATGTTCAACAAGATTATTCAGAACTCGATACCTGTATCAAACAAATAGAAAAGAATTAGATAAGCCCGCCCACTTATTTCTAAAGCAACAATTATGGTTATTGATTCGGCAGAGAGTTTGAAACCAGTCCTGGTTAACTTATTCTGAAACAAACGATGGTTCGATTTTATTAGACATAACCAATTACCCGTGCCACTTCTGCCTAAAACAACAAAAGCATTGAAATAAAGACATCGAAGCAAAAAATTCCTTGCTCCCTTCGAACGTATAAATGTTAATCAATAATGCGTGCTCAAGACAGCATTGACAATTTTTGACGCCATAGCAAGAATCCCTTCAACGGGTTTACGCACCAGCACAAAAATGAATTTACCCAATTCTTGGTTAGATCGAATGACCTCTAAATCTTCCCAGGGCACTGGTAACACAAGCAGCATTATCGGCTCCTCATCGCCGCATCATATTTTTACTGAGGCGAAGCTGCGCTTCGCAAACACAAGCGAGAACAATACAAAAAGTAGCACTAGAGTTCTAAAAAGTGCAATGAGAAATGTAAAATAAGCATCGAATCAGTTTTTAATCTTCGGCGACGCCTCGGACTCGAACCTACGACAGCCTAGAAATTATGTGTCTCACGCACTAACCACTCAGCCACGGACTCTTTTTCTATCGCAAACACTGGCCACAAATAAAGCCGAAAACAGATGCTACGAATTTTCGAATGCTACAGATCAAGATTTTACCAAAAAGGCGCACAAGTGAACACTTTTATTGGCGCGTTAGGGAAGAAAGAAGATTCGTATTAAAACACCAGCTGCTCGCTAGCGTAAACTTAGACCGATTATACTCTCAAATTAGTCAAATTGGTAATTTTCAAACCCCTTTTGCTTTTTAATTTAAGCTCAGGGCAACAATATCTGTTGACTGACTGACTGGAAACAAATTTCAGTAGACAAAATTAATATTTCAAACAGCGATTGTATTTAGCGCTAGAGATTATACATATGCTTTGGGTGCCGGACATCAAGCCCACGGGACTTCAAGCCGAATCCTAAAACAAAGGACTTCAAGCCAAAAATTCTCTCAAAAATCATAAAATATGATATAGTTGATTTAAAGACTGGTTTGAATAATTATTTCATTATATGTTAAAATGAAATGTTTAGGCTAACAGTTAAAAATCAAAGCATTGTTGAAGGCGCTTTATCATATTTATTCATTTCAAAATCCGACTGATGTAATTTTTGGATGCCATTCTTAAGGGGAGCATTGTTATGAATAACGCTCATTATGGACTAAAATTGCCGTCAGCTTGTTGTCGTAGACCCGTATACTGAGGTTGCCGGACATCAAGACGACAGGATTTCAAGCCGAATCGTATAATTAGGGACTTCAAGCCGAACATTTTGTCAACAAGTTATGAATTGTGATAAAGTTGAAAACTTTTGAAACATTTCTCAATACATGAACTTTCAATACAAGTTATTGGATTTTCATAATTTTTAAGCCTCTAATTGATGTTAAGGAATATTAAAAATTTAAACATTGTTGATGGGGTTTTTTATATGTATAATTTATGCATTTCAAAATCCGGCTGACCTAACTCTCTGATGCCACTCCTAAGTAGTGCACTGTTATGAAGAACGCTTATGATGAGCTAAACTTGCCCAATTTTTTCAAAATAAATATTTTAGTGATGAAAATTTAGCGTTTTAAGGTGCTTGTAGTGTTTAAATTTCGACTTGAAGTCCTGTCGGCTTGTTGTCCTAGACCCCAAAATTTAATTCAAAAATTAGCAAATTTGGCTGGCGAAAAAAGCGAACTCGTAATATAACCCAAGCGTTTGCTTGAGCAAATACGATTTCGCAACATATCAACAGCAACCGATTGAATTGAGCTAAAAATTTCATGTTTTATTGAAAGCTATTTACATTGGAATGACTATACCACAAGAACGGGGCTGTCTTTTTACAGACCGACATTTTAACAGACCACAATGCAATAATTCAATTAAGATACGTTTAAATAAGTGGAAAAATCAAAAAGGAAGCGGTTAGAACAAACAAAACTTCACTTAGAAACCGTGAAATCATTGCCTTTAACCAGACTAAACGGCGTCATTACATCTGTCAATCAAATTTGTTTGTCGAGTCTGGTAAAAGGTTCATGTATTAACTTTTCATGTAAAAAATCGGTCTGGTAAAGGGTCGATGCCTCCACGAGAACGATACATTTCCTAGCGGTGCAAACATGGAAATTTTGCTTTGTTCAATTACATCTGATAAGCTGTTAAAATGAACGACTCTCAAATAATTTTAGATAATGGCACTGTTTTCTCGCTACCTGGTCTAAATTATATGCAAAAAAAAGAAAACTTAATTTTCCGAAGCAAAAAGTGAAATCTATGCTACTGCTAAGGCAAGAAACTTAAAATTAAACTACTGACTGTGGGCTCGTAAATGACGCGTATTGCAAGAAAGACTAATCCTTCTTACCATTTCCTCGAGGAAATTAGAGTATACTCACTAATAGGTGGGGGCGAGAGGGGCTGCATTCCCTCGTGGTAGGAGGGGTAAGTTAGTCTGAGGGGCTCAGTGCCTACCAGCACAGGCGTCTCCACGCACACTCGCTTGTTCTTCTTGAAGAAGATAGTGAACTAAAACACAACAATACCGAATCAATGTACATATTTCTCAGTCAGCACGAAATTCCGGCTATCAGATTCAAAAAGAAACCTAAAGAGGAATCAAACTTTAAGTAACAGTTTCAACTTAACAAAAAGTCCAAATTGAACAAATCACAAAACGAATGAATTTGAAAAGGGAGTTTCAAAGGTGAACCATTCAAAAAAAAAGAAAAATTGTCTTAATTACTTCTAGTATAAAACCTAAACAGCAACGTGCTGATCAGTCCCTACGATTGCTTAACATGATACACCGAATATCCACCAGAGATAGTTTTCAGCATGTAATTGAAATAACGACAGAAAAGGTTGTTTGTACCACAAGCCTACGCAACTTTTCTTTGTGGTACCTAATTTTCCGCAAAAACGAAACACACGGATACAACGTCCTTCTATCCCTCCTTTAGAGGTGTTCGCGAATAACCAAGTCAAAAAATATCTTTCGAATATTTGCTTTTTCGCTTTCTCAAGATACATAACGAAACCATACTCACCCTGAGCAGGTATCTGATACTGATTAGTTCACACCCTTCCAATTTACTGGGAGGAATAGCGGGTACAGCTAGGGGAGTGTTGTCCCATGTGAGGGTACTGTGACTTGCACACCCCTCTCCCCGCACACTCTGGATTGTCTTCAGGGTTCGCCTGGTCTTCGTTTTTGTCCCAATCAACTGTTTTTGAGACCCAGTGTAGTCAACGATCTACAGAATCAACATTTGAAATGTTTCAGAAATTTAATTTCAACAGAGGCGAAGCGAGATTCGCATCACTTGCGATACAAAGCAAGCACAGCATTGCAAGCGAATAAAAAACAAGACGGAAATAACAAAATCGAAAAAATATATATTGTGAAAAAAAATTCTAAAAAATCGCCAAGAAACACAACAAAGAGCATTAAATAAGTCTTTAATTTTTTTGAACGAGCGGTTTTGAACTTGCTAAGGTTCACTAATAAAGTAACTTCAATTTCGGCTGTTGTTTCTTTTCCCCCACCTGAAAATTTTTGCAAGCGATTGCTATGAAAATTGACATACAGACTAATTAGGCCACGGCAAACATATTTGGTCTGACACTTAACCTTGTAACAACTCTTGTTACATCATAAATTGATGCTCGTGCGAGAACGGGGAAAGGAAAAAGAGCCTCAACTTCAGATAAGAAAGTTGTTTACGGGGAAAAAAGTTTAGTTCCCGATTACAAAACATTTTTATAAAAATTGATTTAACTGAAGTTCCAAAAAGATAGTACAGTTACAGTACAAACAGTTGGATTTAAGCCAAATTATTTGGCATTTCCAAAGAAGTTAAATGTTATATTTTCAATTCTGTGAATTTTAGTTTAATCATTTCTCTATTATTGTTCCGACGAAAGTAACGGAATAGTTGTGCTCGGGTGGGTTTTTTTTTCTTCAAACAAATTTCGACTTTTTAACTAGCCATTTTTGACGGAAAATTTTTTATATCATTCGAAAAGTATTGTTGTCCTGAGCTCAAATTTGAAAAGATATTTTACCTGTGATCACTTTTTGTAAAGTTATGGGGGTTTACAGATTGCCATTTTGGCCAATTTGGGACAATTAACGCGCGATTTTTTTCGCGCTATTAACGCCTGAGCGGAGATTTAACCCGGAGATTTAGAAATCGTTCCAAATTGGTTGAAGGAAGACTATTTGCCATAATTGATTTGTTAATCGGAGCGAAATCTCTCCTTTTGTACTTTAAATGGCGTGTGGGGTGATGATTTTCATTAAAAATTTCAAATTTTAGAAAAAAATTTCATTTTGTTTTATATCATTTAACTTTTATATGTTTTTACTGCTCCATAAACCTTAAAAGGCAGTCGGAACATTCAGGGCTTCGCCCTGATACAAGCAGTCTTGTTTTTATTCGAAGTTCACTCAATTTAATATACATCATACAATTTTGCTTGAAATCTTTTAAATCGCGAGTAACATCGTTCAGACCATTATTTGACAGTTAAATTCAGTTCAACAAGCTGCTAGATTCTATTTAAGATTTCATCTCACCTGCAGGAGATCCGCAGATGATCTCAGTATCTTCTTGCTAGTGTTGTTCTCACAGTTTGCCGATACCTTAATCAGCTCACCTGGACAGTAGCCAGTCCTATTTAAACCTAAAATCGAACATGCAAAGCCATGTTGAAGCCATTTAAATGAATTCATTTTAAGCTTTACTCATTCGAGGTTGGAACTTTAAGGGAACGTAGAGCATACACAAGCAATTATCTTACATCAGGGCGATACCATGTCTCTTGTCTTGGATAAATCCATTTTTTTTCCATTGCAGAGCTCTTCATGCTTTCGTTGAAAATTAAAATGCTTTTTTCTCATTGAAACGCAACTTTCATCTACACTAAAATAGTGTACAATTAGGAATGATGAAGTATTTCGCCGCAATGACCACAACTTTTCCTAATATTTACATTTACCTAATGTGACGACTGTGTTAGCTGTTTTGCAACAGAAACATGATTTAGATCCCTGTACTTTGGAGCTGTTTGCAGGCACCTGAACAAAACGTAATAAACTCATGTCCATAAAGTCAACGAAGTTAGTTTGTCAATTACGTCATAAAGCTAATCTGATTGCTCACCAAAGAACTTTCGTCTAAATTCAAGTCAAGAACTCCGAGAACTGTGAAAGGTTTGATTGAGAAACAATTCTTCGAGAATGGCCGTTCGATTACGGCTCGAGCAAAGTATCTAAACATGAAAGTAACTTTTCGTAATGATAAAACTACATTCAAGCAGCACGGATGTGTAAATATGTGTACCAATGGCCGAAAACCAAACCTGACAGAATGAATCGAATGCTTGGACTATCAAACGTTTTTCTGCAATAAAATTTGCTAATTTCTGCAACAGTTTTATTAGCATTAACTGCCATACTGATAGGGTGAAAATAACGCGCTCATTCTTCGAGGCGAAAAGTAGAATAAAGAGTCGTCCTGGTCAAAAATTTCAGAGATTGTAACATTCTTATTGTTCCGACTTTCTAAGAAATGCAGAATATTTATGCTTGGGATTGTTTTCTTATTTAGTCAATTTTTGCCGATCGAAATAAAAAATTTTAACGAAAATTTTATATTTCCCAATGAAGATATCGACTCCTTGAGTTCAAATATTTCGCCTCCAATCAATTTTTGTAAAATTCTTGGGGTCTGAAAATTGCCAATTTGGCCATGGTCTGAACTTATTTATGCGCTCTATGAAGATTTTAATTATGATGCCGAAAGTCTAATTCGGTTGAATTTTGCGTGGCAAAATGTTTTGCACAAAAAAAACGTTCCAAAATGAATTGAAGCAAGCTAATCGGTCGCATTAAATAATTGCACTCATGACATATTGTCCAAAATTTATGGTTTTAAAATATATTCGTTACCCAGAACAATTTGATACCGATTACAGGGCAGTCGGAACATTCAGGGCTCTGCGCTGATATACGAGCAGTCTTGTTTTCAACATTGTTTATTTCAACTATCAATGTTGAAATATAACCTGATAACTAGGGTCTGGAAAATACCAACCTGACGTATCCGTAAGGCCCCTCCAGGGATGTCGGGAGGGATGTATCTGAAGGCAGCGTATAGGCGAACGGGAAATCGTACTGGCCCCGACCCAGCTCAACATTCTTCGACTTCTTGTCATCCTCTTCTAAAAAATATTATAAGTCCCAGACTTAAAAAAAGTGTTCTTATCGCGTTGCTTAGATCGTATTAACTATTTCACTTGTTCCATTTTTCACCGAGATGTCATAATATGCTTCCAAAGGCTCCCTGAGTTCGATATACAGCAAAATGAAGGGGGAGCAAGCACACGCAAAAAAAGTGAAACTTTTCTTCCTATTCCTCAAAAATCCAACCTACATTGTCATTTGGTAAATTATTTACAACGATTCTACCACACACAAATAAGTTTTAACACTATTGAAGAGCTTCGTCGACCAACCAATTGTCTCGGCGAAAAATGGTCAACATTTTTTTCTGGTTCAGGCTGTTTCCAAAAAAAATCAAAGAAAAATTTTAGATGGGCAAACCTCTTCCATGCAGCGTTTGCTTATAATTGAAGTATTCCTCTCGTGAAGAAAATACGTGATTTGAATTTTGTTTTGGGGTTTTCTTTACTCCATACTCCCATTTAACTAAAGCTTCACCGACTATTTGAATTCTCAAAGCTGAAACAAAAATCAATTCAATTTCTTAAACAATTAAATTCGAAACTACTGAACGAAACAATTATTGCCTTTCAGCTTCAAAGCTTTCTCCAAGGAAAGGACCACTTTGCCAGTAATTGTATCACCCTGCCGGTAGACAGCATTGGCACGGTCGAATACAATAACAAATTTTTGTATTCTCATGCCCTCTGAAAACAGCAAAACAGATTAGCAAAGTTCCAATATAACGAACCAGATCTTCACAAATAGGTTGAAAAATGAAACTAAATTTATGCATATTTCTTTGTGTTTTCAAACTTTATAGACCCGTTTTGATTTTTAGTCTAATTTCCAGCAAATAAGTAAGCGAGCAGGCCTAAAATAGCTTATTAATGCTTAATTTAAGTCAAGTAAAGGGTCGAAGCTCTGGAGCGCTGCTATGAAATTCCTGAGAAGAATCAAGCCATATTGATAACCAAGAGCCTACTAGACGTCTACAAGCTCGACTACAAAACAAGTTCAGTTTCTGTAAAAAAAAAACGATTTATCAAGAAGACAGACCCTAGTCTTTTACTCTTTTTTTTTCGGGAGCCGGACATCAAACCGATGGGATTTCAAGCCGAATCGTAAAAATAGCCAAACAAGCCAAACAAGACTTCAAGCCAAACATTTTGTCAGAAAGTTAGGAACTATGATCAATATGAACAATGTTTCAAAGAATTTCTCAACTTCATGACATTTTTTGACAGTTCTTGTTTTTTTGGCCCTCCTTCCTTTCAAATTCATTTTCGAGAAGCTTATTTAACAATAACATAAGGCAATGAAATTTAACGTGGTGAACAAATCAACATCTGTGAACAGAATTGTTCTTCTATTTGTAACATTCGCCCGGAAGTACATACCGACGGAAAATAAAGCTAGGCTCTAAAACGACTGGCTAGTGTCTAAACACAGCTTCACATGCCTTTAATCGTCTCTACCAAGCCAGTTCAATTTGTGGTCCATTAACATCATTTTCAATTTGATGGCATTTCAGCGTGGGTCTTGAGCGAAAATGCCAATAACTTTGCTCCTAGTATTCAACACATCTACAATTTATCACTCAGAAGTGGTGTTTTCCCGAAGGCTTTCAAGATTTCAAAAATTGTTCCTCTAGCCAAAGTCCCGCAACCAGACAGCATGGACCAATTACGGCCAATGTCAAACACACCAGTACTCAGCAGACACTTTGAGCGATTGGCCTACACCAAGTTCATAAAAAAAACAACTACAAAAGTTCACTGAACAATTATCAAGTTGGTTTCAGAACAGGAGGCTCAACGGTCAACGCTGCTCTTCGAAAACTACACACAGTCCCTGACTTCGATACTCATCATTTTGACGGTGTACGTCTCTTCGCGCTGGACATGTCCAAAACATTCGACAGAGTGCCCCATTATTTTATAATTAGCCAGATCAAACAGATAAACCCAGGAGTCAATACACATGTAGTGAATTGGCTGAAAATTTTCCTATCAGATCGAATGCAGATTGTATCATATCAGAACAAAATGTCAAAACCAGCCTCCATCAACCAAGGTGTACCTCAAGGGACGGTTCTTGGACCACCGTCACCGTCCTTCATTAAGTCGTTCGACGACTTGAAGTGTCTTTACGAAAATGCTTGTCTAGTTTAGTTTGCAGACGACAGCAATCCGTAAATCGGCGTTAGAGGACTCGACGATCTAGTCGAATCATTTTTGAAGGAATCTTCAAGTGGTGTATGTCTTTTTTGAGAATGCATTAAAATTGTAAATTCAAACAAACGTTTTCGCACATTTTGTGCATCTTCAGGTTTTAAACATTCTAAACTATCTGTACAAAATGATCAAAGATCATAAAAAGTGTCACACACATCTTTACTTCAAAATTTTAAAAATTCATTCAATCAAAACTTTACAAATATCACTGAAATTATATAACAACTATTATGTAACATTTTAAAACATTTTGTCACAAATTTCTGAGAGTTTTCTTCGTTTTTATTTTCACATTTTCGTTTTGTGGCTAATTTTTATGCTAACATGTAAGTTGTTTCAAAATTTTGTTGTTTTAGCAAGAATTTTTGTGTCATAACTATAGGTGTAGGTGTGTAGGTGTATGTGTCATAATATAACTGTCAACACCCTGAAATCCAAAGAAAGGAGGTTCCATCTCAAGAAAAAGGTACCCTTCATCTGCTCAGATATCGAAAGCATACCGCTGGTTGCAAAAATGAAAGTTTTGGGAATTTTTATTGACAGCAGTTCAATTTTTCTACCACATATATCCAAGACAACCAGTAGAGCTTCCTCAAACCTGCTCCTGCTTCTTAAACTAAAGCGATTGGGATTTTGTGCAGATGACTTTTCTTTACTATATCAGTCACTAGTTCTATCAGTCTTAACTTACGGCTTGGAAGTATGGGCTGGCGCTGCGAAAACGGTTCTTAGAAAAGTGTACGCTGTTCAAAAATGTGCTGTTCGTGTGGGTATTATAAAAGAATTAGTTCCTATCGAAAAACACATTAAAGTCAAAGACGCGAGACTTCTGCATAAATTGACTAAGACTGGTTCGAAGCATCAACTATAAGACGTGTTGCCGCATAGACGCGATTACTGGTCCAAAAGGTTAACTAAAGGACTACCGACTGCCAAAAAGGCAGTCAAAAAGGTGTATGAATCTATGTTTCCTGACAGACTTTTGATGAATTTTTAGAAACTGACCCAAAGCTAAAGCCAGATGGACCAAGGCACTGGTGAACTCGCTTGACTTTATCATTCCATCACAGTTTCATCACAGTTTCTTATTTTTAGTATATCTGATGTTATTTTTAGATGTTAAATTAATACTTTTCTTCTTATTCTTCTTCTTCCATTAACATCGGGTCGACAAAGTAGTTAAAACTGAACGGCTATCGGTCAAACCGCGCAAACTGACTTAGTAACATGCAGAAATAGTGAACTCATGGTTGGGTCTCAGTATCCCCAGACCACGAGGTCACTCCTAAAACTATTACTTAAATATTGTATTATCATTGTTTTTGTTCAGCAGATAAAAATCATCATATCCATCAGATATCAAGCCTCTCCCTCAATTCTTAGCTTCTCAGTACCCGAAAACTAGCTAGACGTGAAATTAATTCAATTTAGGACATTCCGGGAAGCTATAAATTGTTAAAATATAGTTCACAGTCCTTCTCCGAGACCCTTCCGGATTCTTGAGTCCGGAAGAAGAGCTCTCTTCTCGTCATCTAGAAAGGGTAGTAAAATCCTCCCTTTAGCCCTTCTGATTCTCGGGAATTGCTCGGTAACGATTGTAGCTGTACAACCGTTACAACTCGGAGCGCTCTTCTATAAATATCGTCGACTGTAATTTCTGTCATCCCTCTCGTTACTCGCACGTCTCTGTTATAACAGCAAAAATTGTCGTTCTCATGTTTGCGGTTTCAATTGCAGCAAAAGTCAGAATCGCTACCTGTCATAAACTCCCTAATTCAAAGTTGAAAAATTTCTTCTTCAATCCAAATTAACCCCTCCGAATACCTTCAATTGAAACAGTCAAAACAGTCAATTCTCCAGACATACTACTTTAAAGAAAAAATCGTCGATGACATGCATTTTTGGTTTTTATGGTCAAAGTTCACTAGTCCCCGGAAAGCACGATCAATGTCTTCATTGAGCTTAGTGTAACTCGCCGGAATGGTACAGTGCAATCGAACATAATTTACAAAATGCATAAAAAAAACTTTATCCACATTACATCGACTCACTACGTGCTGCAAATGGCATCATTCTACATTGTTGTAGCCTTCTAAAACTTTCATTTTGAGGACATGACTTATGAAAAAGTGCCTTTTTTGACCTTTAGTGCAATTGACTCAAGTTAAAACTTTTTCTGCTAGGGTTAAAAATTGTTGGGACGCAGGAAAACCTGCCAACCAACAAACTAAATCTATCCTACTATGCTTCTTTTCTTAAAAAATTTAGTTGTTATTGGTCCTAAATAATGAAATTAAGAAAATCGGTGTTCAAAAGAAACAATAAAACATTCTCCCTCTTCAAGAGATCACGTAAGTCCTTCATGTCACCACAAAGTGAACAGTCATCTTAGTTGATTGAAAACAATCATTCAGGCCGGAGATTTTGGAACACACTCTCAACCCAAACCTTCCTAATTAAATAGTAAAAGTCTGTAAAAACACTAACCAAAATCACAATGCAAGTTATAAATGCAGCAAAATTGAACTCAACATAACTAAAATTTTTTCTTCTATCAACCATCAATTTCAAGCTTAGTTAGCTTGGTTGCTCATTGGAGTTTTTCGTACACAAAAACATTTTGGTTTTATTTTCCGCCTCTTTGTTACATCCATGTTTTTATCTCTTTCTTTCAAGTTTTCGTCAGTCAGAAGTTCTAAAACTTCTTAAATCTTCTAATCGTTCTCTTTTTGCATCTGGTCATCCGGCTATTGTTACTGTTCCATCTCCTCCTCCTGCAACATCGACTCTGCCCCTTCGGTTCAGTGTCGTGCAACATATCAGTGGCTATTCTGAAGCTATTGGAGGCAGTCCTCTCACACGTTTGCTCTTCTACCCTTTGTTTGCAACAACGTAGAGGGTCTACCGTCGTTTCCCTATTACTGCAGAAGCTGTTGTGGAGGCACTACGTCACCTTTCATCTAGATTTTTCTTTAAGGATTCTTCTTTTTCTCTGTCGTCAAAACCAATTGTCTTCAACGTTCTTTTTACTGCGGTAGTTACTTCATTCCGGTGCGTCATGAAAGCTCGTTCGAAAGCTTCTGATCCTATGTGCATCTGATACAAACTGTACAATCTGCTGTGCTTCGAAATAAGCTTTTTGTCATACTCGTACAACCAGACAGTCATGTTGGCTATAAACCACGGCATCAGTCGTCTTCTGGTCCAAATTTTCTTTACTTGTATCGGAAGGTTCAAGATTTTGCACATCGTCTCGAAAACATCTAAATCTTTTAGACAGTCAAGCTTTTCCGACTTTTCCTTAGTCGCTGCTTCCTGTCTTTTATTCTCTCTAACTTGAGCTTCCAGCCATCTAATCTCCATCATAACTTCAACTATAACTTTTTTATGGGCTGTGATGAGTCTGATAAACCCATGGAGAGCAGCACTCTAGAGTCCCAGATCAAAACCAGATTACTTCGCCCAG